ATTAAAAAATATATACTGTGAGTATCAGAGCTGTATTCAATGTCAATAATAATGGGTTTGAAAAGCATTGAAATCCTGAGCTAATAGGCCTACTGACAGTATGGATCAATAAAGCACAAGAATTCATAATAATGACTGTATTTTGCACTTCTTTACCGACGTCCCGTACCGGTATTATGAGTTTTTACCAATCACTTTTTATTTACTAAATATAAAAACAAACTGGAATAGACACCCAGACAGTGACATCGGTGAATACATAACCTAATCATGAATCAGTAAAGAATAAAACAACAATACAGCGCAGGATCGTATGGCCGGACGCACTTAGTGAAAAAGTTTTCCTCCACTAGTGGAAAAGGATGGGCGCCTTTTGCGTCTGGATATACTTAGCAACAGAAGGGCACCCTGTACGTTGGGCACGAAGTATAGAAAACTTGCATGGTTAAAAAGAAGAGCGCCACCTACGTTGGGCACGACTTCCGCCCAAAGATCTTATAAACACAAGATAGCGTTCTCCGCGATTTACGCGTGCAAATTCTGTAATAATGCATGAATGGCGCCCTCTTGCTAAATTGGAAACTTTTGACCCTTGACCGCTCTAACCATACCATACACCGCGGTATCAATCCTGTGCATGAACAGCAGAACAGGAACCATCTCAGATCCATGGCAACAGATAGGACGACCTCTTCCAAAACTGATTACTTTTTCTCTTTGGTATAATAATAGCGCATGAATGGCGCCCTCTTGCTAAATTGGAAACTTTTGAACTTTGACCGACGCTTCTATTTGTTACGCGTAAATCGCGGAGAACGCTATCTTGTGTTTATAAGATCTTTGCTTCCGCCTCATTTTTACAAGGCGGGTGCTCTATCTAGTATCTTTGATCATACATATTTTCAATCAGTTATAGCTCCTTAGAATGATCCGTAACACCCATTTTTTATTACATATTCTGAAAGCACATGAGTTGTAGATATGATTTTATAGATCATAATGGCTGATTACACAATGGTTAGTAAATTAGTTAGTTTAATAAATTATTGTTTGAATAAATATGTACGCTCATCTGACATCAAAGGTATCCCAGCAATTGCTCGGGCCAACCTATCTCGACAGCAGCTACTGGGATACCTTTTTTTTTTTTAAAGTTACTATAGTCTTTGTTGTCTAAGTTCATGAACGGTTTTCACACCCACCCACCTGGATTTACTATCTGTTTTGTAGGTGTTACATTTACATACAATTTATCTTGTAGAATCTTTTGTGAAGGGTCATAAAAAAGTCCCGATTTACTTTATTCCATAATGACAGTTTTATCCGACTTGCAATCTCTACTAAACCATTTTGACCAACATTAATTATTAATCTTTTAACAATATCATTATAGAATTAAAATTGACTAGTGCAGCCTTTAAATCGGTATATTTATTGCCATTTAATGCTACTGAGATCATTTGTGAAATGTTCTGCTAAATCAAATATGGACATATAAAGCAGATCCAATGTAACTTCTGCTCTGGTTTTTTTACTACCTGCTGCCGCCTCTCACCATAATTTTTTTTTAAAAGAGTGGTGGAATTTAAAAAAATGTTGTCCTCAAAATTTAAAGAGGACGTATATATTTATAAGGTGCATATTTATGTTGTGGCACGACACAGCGTGGCTCATTTCACACATTTAAAATCTCATTTACTCGATACCTTCACTTTATTTTATATGTAAACAATATCATTTTATAATAGAATTTTTCAATGAACAAAATACTTAATTGTTACATCATAAATTCAATAAATAACAATAAAAATAGCATACAGGAGGTACTCGATACCTTCACTTTATTTTATATGTAAACAATATCATTTTATAATAGAATTTTTCAATGAACAAAATACTTAATTGTTACATCATAAATTCAATAAATAACAATAAAATAGCATACAGGTGGTACTCGATACCTTCACTTTATTTTATATGTAAACAATATCATTTTATAATAGAATTTTTCAATAAACAAAATACTTAATTGTTACATCATAATCAATAAATAACAATAAAATAGCATACAGGAGAGGAGTACAATAACACAGCAACATAAACTACCAACTCCCTGCATAAAAACACCATCCCACATATACTCTACTGTCATAAGTATGTTTAACATGAACACAGGCATACTGGCCTTACAAAGCTGACTAAGGTTCCAAAATAGGTTTTTGCTGAGATGCACTGTGCGATTTGTGTGAATGGTGTCTTCTATTGTGTAGTTTCTTTCTATAAAAACATGAAAATGTCATACAATTTGTAATTAAGCAAACAATGTACTGTATATTTAATTTAATATGCCAAATTAATGCAATAAAATATAACACTTTTAAAATACGGCCTAAGCGCAGTATTGTTAGATAATGATTATGTTAATAATTACAGTATAATAAGTATAAACTGTATATTAAACGGACCTAGGCCTAATCTAGAGGCTTATATCTGCAAAAAAATGTATATGTTGATGTATTATTTTTTTCTTCAGGGTAGGCCTATTACAGCTATATGCCTGAAAATAGGTAATATCCAGAACACAGCCCAGTCCCACCATACAATACATTAGTAGCCCTACAATGAATGCTAATTTCATAACGGCTTTTGAAAGTTTCCTGTGAAAATCATTGCTTTTACGCGGCGATGGGAACCATACCGATTTTGTTATGTTGTGTCACTGTGTTGTACAAATCATCGGTTGCTACAGTGATATGATCAGTATACTGGGTGCGTATTTATATTTTGTGCGTATGCTGATTTGTGCTCCTGCAGTAGGCAGCGCCTACGCGTTAACTACACATCAGCAGTACTTTACAGATACGATGAATAACTAGACCTAGTCTATTTTTTAATTTGTATTGTGTTAGAAGGTTTGTAATTTTTCACATTCATCAAAGAAATAAACATTTTTCAAAGCATTCGAGAGAGAATACAGTCACTGTTACTAACTTTTTTGTCGGTGCAGACAGGTGGGATGATTTTATATCTACGCTAGGCTATACGGCCTAGCCTAGGCTAGCAGTAGGAGGAGGCCTCGGCAGCTCCACATCTAATTTTGTTCCTTGAGTCTTTAAAATAGATCTAGAATATTCCTATTAAACGTTCAGTTTGTTTAGATTATTAGGGTTCATTGATTCAAGGAATTGCTTAATTGTTCATACTTAATATTGAGTTTAAATTAACTTTCTTCGGGTTCTAATTAACGACGTCACAATTGACTTATAATAATAATTATTATTATTTTAGTGGTGATGGCTAGGGCGATGGCGACAGTCTAAGATGACAGAGAACTCATCGCCAAAATGTAAACATGAAGCACTAATTACAAATCCATCAGTTAGAGCATTAGCTTTTTCCTTGCGTTGCGGCGCTTGCGTTGCGAAAAGTTGGATTGATTCAACTTTTCGCAAAAACAACGCAAAGACGATTCGCAAACAACGCACAAGTTGAGTAGCGTTGATGTTGCATTGCCAAGTTTGCTTCGTCGGTTCCCACTTGGAAGCCGCAAAACTCTCGCGTTGCCTCACTTTGCGTCGATACGTTGCGTTTGCTTTGTTGCGTTGCGTCCTAGTGGGAACGAAGCTTTAGCATAAGCACCATGGTTGACTAAAAAAACCTATCTATTAATGTCATTCACCATGCAAACCTTCAAGTAGACTGTCTACCAACACAATATTCGAAGTAAAATAACATGTTTATATGTACAGTTGAACAAAAATATAAAATCGATTAAAAACCAGATATGACATTCTAAGATAACATAACCAGTAAATCGTCCATCTGACAAGCATTCAGATTTTAAATTAAATGTTTATGACAGTTTTCTTTAATCCTCTTCATATTCCTGTTAATTATGGGTTTTATCTACCGTGTCTTTGTATTTATGTATATTTTACCCCTTTTCATTTCACACTTTTTTCTTTTATATTTAAGAACTAAGTTTGTAAAATCAGTCCATCGTGTACTACAATTTGCTTTAGCATTAACAATAAATAAATAAATATTAATAATTTCATAAGGCGAAGAAGAATAGAATAAGACCAAGAATTAAAATAGATGCAAAATTCAAATTCTGTAACATTCAAATTTTGTAATATAACAAATGTATTATGTGCTTGATATTGAAAATATTATATAATTTGTATTCCAATACTTAATGAACTAGAATTGTAAACCAACACCATCATAATTATTTGTTTTTATATTTTTTTTAATTTGATATATTTTTATTTTTCAACAGGTCTTACAGTCAACATAAATAATTTCCCTGTTTTTGACGATTATTTCGAGAAAAAGGATGCTAAAATTGTGGAGGCCAGCAAAAGTTCAATCAAACTACTAGTGAGATTTGCTTCTCAACAAGCAATGAAGAAATTTGAAATGGAATGCGATAGTGGCATTACAGAAAAAGAAATATATGAATTACTGCTGAAGAATAAGCTTATAGAACCTGGAGCTGAGATAAAAGTTACCGTTAAAACAGGTAATATTCACGCATAATTTTCTTCAAAAGGTAGATTTAGCAGCATTAATGAATTCAATATTCAGTATTTGTTTATTCACCAAGTATAATTACAATATAATGATTTGGCTTTCTTGATCAATAATTCTAAAGAAACCTCTAAACAAATCCAACTGACACTTTATGAATACAATGAGGAATATAAGAAACCCGCATGATGTAATAATTATTGCATTTGCCTTACATTTTCGGGAATAGGAAACAGCATTTTTGAATAACATTCGCTTTCATTTTTTTTTTAATATAAATTTTTTATGAAATAATTTATTTAGCATTTATGCTTTTATCATATTTACAGGTCATGGAGCTTTGCTCATAATTTCAATGGAAGAATTTGAAAAGGTGAACAAGGAAAGCATAGATCTTGTTCCATTCATGGTTGCAGCATACAACTGCAAAAACATGAAGCAACTAGATAGTAATCTAGCCTCTATGCTTGAGAAAAGAATTACTGCTTCTGATTTACAATCTAGATATCATACTGATCAAGAACAAACTACTGGTAAATGTTTTATATTCAATATTCCTCACCAATTTTATTGCCAACAGCAATCATTATTTTCAAATCTAAGCTTCTTGATCTGATTGTTCAAATATATGGATGACAATTGTTGATTCCTTTCTCATTATAATTGTTTACTTAATTTCGTAAACATGTGGTGTTAACAGCTAGAAAATATCAATAATCACTATCAACCCCAGGTATTATTATGTTTATAAGCCAACAAGTACATGGTATGAAATAATTACACTATAACAATGGGAAAATATGAGAATATGAAGAGATGATATATACAACCGAAGAAATTAAAATAGCAAGGAACCTAAATGTAGACTTAGATGGGGTGACTAGAAAAGTAAGATCTAGAAAGTAAGACATAAGATTTGTCTTACTTTTCTAGATCTAGAAAATTAAGATCTTAATTTTCTAGATCTAGAGAAGTAAGATTTTGTTGTACCATATCATGAGATATTTTGATTTTAAAGCAGTAAAATAAGGTTATTATACAATTATCTCTGAAGTGGGGTTCATTTTTACTAAGAAATTTGTAAGTAATCTACCCTTGATTTTACTGTACAGACCATTTGGCATAATTTTATTTGAATTAATGGAAATTCTACAGGTTGGATAAATTAATTAGACTGTTAAAACTTTCTAGATAGTCATTATTTAATTATATGTTTTCCTCATAAAAATATCATAATATCAAAATATCATAATATCATAATAAAAGATAAATATATCTAGCATTAACAATGTATTGTCTCCTGAATAATGACTGTACAAATCCTAAAGCAAAATTTCAAATTTATTTTAGTATTTTGACTTTTAATTGCTGACTTACACCCTCCATGCTTACCATGCACTAAACATTATCAGATCTACAAGGTGACTACCCTGAAGGGCTGAGCTGGTCACTGTCCTGTATTTATATTGTAGCCTTGATAAAATAATTTCTTTGGATAAAATATTTGGAGCTGGTCTTGGTTAAATATTTAAAGCGAGGTGAACAAATATATTAAAAATAGATAAACAGACAGATAAGTAGAGGTAGGGTGAGAACAGGAATAAATTGAACATAACAAACTGAGGATTTAGAAATAGGCGTCCAAAAAAGAGTACTATAAATTTTCAATAAATAACCATATGAATAATCAATTTATAACTTCCTTGTTTTGTCGCTCCAATTGGTATGGTACTCATTACAATCTTGTGACCCAGCTGAATTAAAATATAATCGACTGAATATATAGTACCCTGTAATTAGCTACTACCAAATTTGTAAAACAAGTGTTTATATATGAATGTAGGCCTACAGTATGTATGTGTGTGTATGTATTTAACAATTTGCCATGAGTAACCTGTTTCTGTGAATTCCTAACATGTATGTTATATAAATGAAAAAGCAAATGAAAAATGTATGTATGTGTGGTGTGTGTGTTTGTTGAAGGGGGGGGGGGTGTTTACATCATTGGTTGTCTGATTTCAAACTATTTGATTTAATTTATCACAGTTCCTCCCCCCCCCCACCCCATTAAAATAAAAACAGCAAACCACTTTAAACCATGCCAGAAATTAAAATTGTGCATAGAGCAATTTAAAACATTTTTGTTCATAGCAACAAAAAAAATAAATAAATAAATATACAAAGGCCTACAACATAAGCACATGAGTATGGAAGTAAACATTTATGTTTCTGAAGATGATGGTACTCTATAAGTTACCGGAGAATTTTGCAAGCCCAACACAAAATGTAAACATGGATTGGCCATGGATGAGTTCATAAAGAATTGATTTAATGGTTCATTTTCATGCCGTTGAACCAGCGCCGATATTTATACGACCGTGTAGTTTGAGGCACTATCAACTCGCCTGGGTCATGCTAATTACCGTCAACAACGCTTGTTGACGGTAATTAGTATGATCGACTTGCCTTGACTAACCCAGAGACTGACTGAACAGCATGTCTCATTTGCAAGTCCCGTTTGTTAACCTATTTTTGGTCTGCCACAGGCCTAGGTTTAGCACTGACTTCTGTCACATTCTACAATAATCAATACTCGCAGGAACAGAATGACTAACAGTCCTGAAATCATCAGTGATTATGCTTCACCCATGATGCCAAAAGTTGCCATAAAAAGGTAGAATTAGAAGGGTACGTAATCAAGGCCAACATATGACATAATGACTATCTAAAATGTTTTAACAATCCATAGAGAGAACAATCTAATGAATTAATCCAACCTGTAATCTCCATTAATTCAAATAAAATTGTGGCAAATGGTCTGTACTGTAAAATCAAGGATAGATTACTTCCAACAAATTCCTTAGTAAAAATGAACCCCACTTCAGAGATAATGGTATACCGTAACCTTATTTTACTGCTTTAAAATAAAAAATACCTCATGATATAATGGTACAACCTATCATTAAAAATCTACTTTTCTAGATCTAGAAAAGTAATTAAGATTTATCTTACTTTTCTAGATCTAGAAAAGTAAGATAAATCTTATGTCTTACTTTTCTAGATCTTTTAAATGGAAAATATTAGCTAAATACAAACCCTACTCAAATATCTAAACGGAGTAATCTGTGCTTCCTTGAGAAATATTTTATTATATGTAACCCTGAATTAAGCTCATTTAGGAATGAATTGATAAGTGCATGTAGGCATAGAAGAACAATTTTATTATGATACCAATGCACATATACAACTTAGATACAATAGAACGTTTAATTACCCCAATGAATACCAATAAACCAATAAAAACTATATACCAATCAGCTGTCCCACTATGCATGATTGTTATTCTACATTCTCATTCAGAGCCTAGCACCTGACGATTGAGAAAGTACCTCATAAAACATCCTGTAGTGCAATAAAATGTTGAATTTTTAACTAAGCGTCGTCTTGTTTTGATTATATATATATATATATATATATAAAAGGTTCCATCAATCCCAAAATTGGACCCCATCTCATCCAGGTCGATCCGGCACCAGGACGTTTCTATGTCCTACCC